CTCAAATTGCTTCAGATTTGATGGCCGTCAATCTTGGAACGTTCCCTATGTTTCACCCCACAGATGTCTAATAGTGTTCAAGTTAGTGCTTGGTGCGGGGGAGTCTATAATGTCACTATACATCACTTTGGATATTGGAGGAGTTCTTTACCAGCAGTGTAAATGTTTTGGTTTATCCTCATCCTGGGAGACAAAATGATGATCCAGATCCTTTTTTAATCCTGACTGCTTTAGTTTGTCTTTGAAACTTTTCACATATCTTCCCAGTATGCTCAAACCCTCATCAAAATACTCTCAAACTTCCGCCTGGCACAAAAGTGTCTCTTCTTTTTATAAAACTAATCCTCCTATTACATTGTTTTATTGGCATTTAAGAAAAGCTAAGTGCCTACCTTAAAAAAAAACAACAAGTTTAATAAATGTAATTATAAATCTGTCAGGGGTTTGAATAATTTTTCATTTTGTGACGTGTAACTTCAGAGAAAAGCCTGTTTAAACTTGATCAAACAAGCGTTAAGCATATCAGGTTAAGGAACTTCATTGCACAATGGTGGCTTGTGCTACGGCTCAGTGACAAGGTCAGCTCTCCAGGGCACCGATACATTCAACCCTGGATAGTTTTTGTTTTCTTTGTAGTGCAAAGTAAAATAATTTGTAGGCTTGGCAAATAAAATTAGGAAGTTAAAAATCATTCGGGTTATATAATAGCCCTGGAAAATATATCTATATAAAAAAATACTGACATTATCTTAGGAGGCTAATATTTTTCTCCTCCTATTTGCAGCCACTCTTTGGATTGAAAGCTTCTAACTTTTGTTTCTATGCATACAAACAGATATACGCTTAGGGATTTGAAATGAAACATAAGTAACAATTCCCATTAAACAAATGAAGTCACTCATGCCTTGCCCATAGTCAAAACTGCAACCGTGAGCTTGATTTTATGTAAAAGTGGTGGTTTTCCCCAACACTCTCGTTGTCATATGCTCACATCTGTAAGTCTGAGCTTAGGCTTTGCAAACCAAATCAGTATTTGCTTAGAGAATCAAACAAAGCATGACACCCATTGCTTTCCATATTTCTTGGGCAGCCGTTCACCTGAAAGTTGTAAATTCTTTATATCATTCATTCACTTAGAAACTACAACCCCTCACTTTCTAAAAGTAGGGGAAAGCACACATCATCACAGGAAGAAATTGCTTGAGACAATAACACTAGAGCAGCATCTGGGTTTTTTAATCTGTTAGGTATCTAGAGTAGTGACAATGTTTTTTTCTTAGATCAATGCATCTTTTCATATTTTTAAAAGTGTCAGCGGTAATTTCCCCAAATTATAGCAAATGGCTTGTGATTAACATTCTTATAAAAGAAGTGTCATTGATGCAGCACTAAGTCTGCTTCAGTTCCACTCGGTGCTTTGCAAGAAAATTTTCTCCATGAGAAACTCCTTTCACAGTCTCAGCTTTAATCTTTTTTTCCTCATCTACAAAGAATACATTTGTTTGATGGGGCCGATGTAGAAATTACGTAAAAAAGAACGCATTTAGCAGGATGACAGGGTTCAGATGTCAGTGTTACAAAGGTAGCGTGGTGGAGAGATGGAGGGTGAGGGGTCAGGGAAGCAGAGAGACAATGGCCAACAGCTGGGAATGGGGGAGAATGAGGGGAGGCAGGCAGGTGGGAAACGGAGCGCCGGAGCAGAAAGGATGTTAATGTGGGAAGGAAGGCTGTTCCTTCCTAACAAGAGAAAAGCATTCCTCCTCTTACTGTTGGCTATCACGTTGCAGTGTGAAAGAGGCCCGAGAAATAACGAATGGAAGGACTTTAACGTCACCATATAAGGTCAACTCTGGAAGACCTAGACAAATAAAAATCATTTCTGTTCTGTTAGGTTTTTTAGTATCTTTCTGAAGCCTATCAAATACCTGACACATTGTAATTGGAGCAAAGCAAAGTCAAAGAAAGACCCGTTTATGCTTCCAATTCCCTTTGGACTATTAGAAGAACTTGCTTCCAAAATCTGCACGCTGAACTTTTCTGCTCTGTGGGGATAGTGCTGCTAACAATTAAGAAGTCATGATCCAATATAAATGTAAATGCAATCAATCTATGCTAAAATCTGCCAAGGCACAACATTGAAAAGCGATGTTCTGCCCCAATGTGTTTCATTCTGACAGTAAATCCTGTCATGTAAAATGGGATTATAAGACTTTTTTGTTGTGGGTCGTGTATTTGAGATCATATCCAACCATTAAAGGCAAAAATAGAACTGAAATGAAAAGTTTTCTGAGCTCTAGTTGTTCTGATTAAAGCACCAAGATATCATTCAATTTGTTGTTACATAAACGTAGAAATTGATCTTGTTAACTTTCAATAGTGAACATTTTAAGAGAATGAAAGAGGCAGCGTGACTCTACATACTGCTCTCCCACAAATGTCACATATCAACATGTCTTGACACTGAGTTGCTTCCTAACTGTTACAAACAGCCTCATTAATATGCAGAAGCTTAGATATCAAATTGCACGTTTGAAACATGTTGCTTATGTGTGTTTTTGAAAGTAATAAGATTTGGTTTCACAGCAAAGGGGATCTGATCAGAGCTACGTTTTACTGTTTTAAGAGCTGCGGGGGAAACCTCAAAAAAATAAAATGTAGTCAATTCTTTGCAAAATAGCTTAAATTTATACATATTGGCTTTAAAAATCTATGTAAAAATCTATTTTCAAATATCTGCACAAATTTAGAATAGAAATTCCTTTACTGTCCCACATTGGGGTTATAGTGGAAGTGGTCACTCAATGTGCACCTTATAGTGTATTAAAATAACAGAAAAATAAAACAGAGTATTGCACTGAACAGGGTTTCTACAAAATAAATACTCTGTATCTGGAGAATAAAAAAATCAATAACAGCTGTGGACATTTTTACAGTAATGGATTTGTGAAAAATAGCAAAAACAGATGAATATGGATAGAAACTTCAGCACAGTTGGACTTGTCTTGTTTTGAAAGTCACCTTTCATTTGTAAAACATTTTCAGGTTCAGTCCGTTACTTGAATGGCTGAGTTTTCGAGTTCTGACTGAAACCCTTCAATTGTAGCTTTGGCCGTATGTTTAGTTTTCATTATGCTGGAAGAACCTCTGTCCTAATAGTGTATCTAATGTAATCTGGGATATCTTAAAGGTTAGCTATCAGTTTTAGCTGCATTCATCTCTCCATTATCTCTAAGGAACCCCCCCTGTGCCTCGTGAAGAGCTTTCCCACAGCACAACGCTCTCATTGCGATGTTTTAACAAAATAATCTAGCTTTCAGGTAGATGTGCAGTGTTGGTCTCCCCTTACCTTGTTTTTTAATGAAAAGTGTCAGTTTAGGTTTCTTTGTAGCTTTAGTTTTGCTATAACTCGATTATGAAAAAAATGCATGAAAGGTTTTGCAAGGGACTGTACTTTTTGGTAATAAAAGGGTGAAGAAAATCCCTCTTTAATACCAGATGCATCTATATATATAAAGGGCAACTGATATTTATTGAATCCACCAAGTTACTTAAGAGCCTGCAGGATTTATGACTAAATCCAGTAAGAAGGTTGCTTAGCTGTTCTACCAACGCATCACCATTTATCTGATTGAAAACCAATCCCTTATTATTTTCCTGCCAGCGTGAGGTTAGTCCCCTCAAACACTTTCAATTCCTCCCTTGCGGATAGGTTTCCATATTACCCGCGGTTAATTATTCATGCATGCTCGCTTGGCGCCTCAATCGGAAAATAAAGCAAACCCTTCTGGGCTCCTGATACGGAATAACACTGTGACCTCTCTGCTGAACCCAGCTGTATTGTTCGTTTGTCTCCTGCTGCTAGTAAGAAAGAAACTGGAGCCCAGGTGGAGTTCATTTCCTTCATGTGTAAAACCGCATCTCTTGCACAGCACACGCCTATAAACAGCCAGCAGAGTGTGCGCAGGGCCTGAAGAGCTCAGTAAAGTCTCTTTTGTAATGTGCAAAATGATATCTCTGCAGTGTAACAGTCTCTATTACAGTGGAGGAAGAGATTGTCTTACCCTGCGGATTTGCTTCAAAGAACACAACAGATGAGCCCGGGTCTGCTTGCTATGGACTTTTAGAGCTCATGATTATCTACAAGATGAGAATTGTAACAGCTAAACTAGAGGACAGAAGCAGGCAGCGCAGGGTGTAAAAGCTCTGGTGCCGTCTGAAGACAAGTCCAATTTGTTCAAGAATAATGTTTAAAATATACAAACTTTCTATTTGTATGACAAGCAATTGTTTTTACCGCCTGAGAAGGCTTCTCCAAAATACATATTGCTGGGTTATTTCCCCGACACATTTTCTATCAGATGAAAGCCAAAGCACCCATAATGATACCTTGATGCTTTCATTTTATTCATAACCCGAGTGGAACAGGAGGATACATTATTACACAAAACACACGACAAACCTGCAGTTACTATTAATTTGTTTATTTGGATGCATCCATTTAACAAATATTTAAAACATATACAGTAGATATGTCTTTGACAAAAGAAATTGGAGCTTATGTGATTTTTTTTTTGTATTTTTGCATCATGTGCAAGCCCTTTGAAAAGTTAGTCCTTCGGGTGTTGATGCTTAAAAGTTCAGGAAGCACTCTAGATTCTTGCAGAAAGTTGAGCCATTAGGGACGAGAACACTGAAGAAGGAAGAGAAAGTCAATTATTACATTAAAAAGAAAAAAGAAAAACAACCACTACTGCATTTTTTGGGCATCTTTTCATGAAATAGTTGGAGACATTGATCGCCAGCAGAGGATAAAACAGCGGTGGTAACAAGATTTATACATTAAAAAAAACAGCAGACTTTCCTCTATTCTTATTATTGTAGGAATTGAAAAAAGGAAAAACTATTTCTGTAGTGCAACAAAAAGAAATAGAATTGAATAAAACTGTCAAAGTACAAAATAACACTGGAGCGTAATTATGAGCGAAAACACAATTTGTCATTAATTTACCTGTCAGTGTAAACACAGAAACATCAATCACGCGCCCTGGGCGGCTGGTAGTACTGCTGCGTAGGCCTCGAGCGTCTCGGCTGTCCATCACCCCCACGGCGAAACTCCAGTGAACTGTCATAGTAACCGTCATCTTCCTCCTGCTGATACAGATTTCACTTAATTTCAACGTGCATCTGTTTGTAATCAGAATTGGCTGCATAAATATTTCATCAGCTTTCCGGACGTCACAGGAATACAGTTTGATATTTTAACCAGAGTCCTAGAATGCTGATATCTATAATAAAGTGATTATAGTATACCGGTTACCATCATGTCTTCGGGAACAGGTCTGATGTTATGCAGGAGGACTTCTTCACAGTTTCCATAATCGCTAAACACGACTACAGCCGTAGAGCCGGACGGATGCACAGCGTCTATCCTGGCATGATAATACTTTTAGAAAAAAAGGGGGGGATGTTTTAATAGAAATAGGACCAACGATGATCTATGAGCATAATCAGGAGAGGTAAAGTATACCTTGTTGTCCTCCCAGTACAGAGCCAGGCAGGCGTCTCCAGGTTTCCACATATGTTCAGAGACGTAACCTTTTTCTGTTCCTCTGGATCCCTGACCTCGGCCTTGCCCCTGTCTCCTTTTAGATCCCTGGTTATTAGGAGCGTTCTTCTTGGGTTGGTGCTCCCTGTTTTGAGGAAAGGAGGCTATTGGCTTGATGGGCCCAGTCCGTTTATGCTCCACGTCCCCGTTTTGGAAGTGGGAAGGATCCCCAGTAAGAGTTCGGGAGGATTCTGTTATTCCAACTTCCTGTGAAGCTCCAGAGCTTCCTCCTCTTGGGTTGAAGTTCAACGGTCCACCGTCTCTTTGTCTGTCAAAATAGTCCGAGTTTGGCCGCTCGCTTCTCCCTTTTCTCCTGTTGTTGTTGGCCTCTTCGTTTCTGTCTGAGCGTTTATAATTTCCTCTTCCATCTATTTCTCCGCCTGCTGAATTGCTCTGTTTAGAGGCGGGTACATTTTCTTTCACCCCTCTCCTGTGAGGCGGTCCGGACATATTACCACTGTTCCCATTTCGCGACTGCTGGTGGTAAGCTCCACTAAAGTCAGTCTGCTGCTGAGATTCTTTTAAATGTGTGAGAGGAGCCATAATGGCAGAGGGAACATTCTGTTCTTCTCTGATTTCTCTCCTGTCGTTCTGCGCTCGCTCTGATGTGTTTCGTGGCCATTTCTCCTGGCCCTTCCACTGATGGGCTGGAGCAGAGTTTGAGGCCGGCTCCTGGCCCGGTTTGGGGAAATCTGTGTCCCTGTGAAAGCGAGGTGGTCTGTCATTCCTCTGCTGTCTGTAGTCACTGTGTGAGAACTTGGTCTGGGATGTTTCTTTGGCGTAATAATTTGAGTTGGAGAAATGACTTTTGCTCTCATGCTGCCTCTGTGGTGCCTGAGACTTTGGCTCTGAGAAAACAAATCCCAGTCATTAGACACTAAAGCAAAATAACAAAAAAATCTAAGAAAACTGACAAACTTCTTCTACTCCAGAGTTGCAATAATTTACACAGAAGTTCAACTTCTTGGTGTTAAATGAAAAATTCGATCACCCACCATCAATGGAGAAAGCCCCCATCTTGGACTCCAGGAAATCAAACAGAGTGCTTGGTCCAGACGGTCTCCCCCCTGCTCCAACCTCCTCATCTTCATTTCTCGACCTGCCTCTGCCTCTCCCTCTGCCTGCAGAGAACCCCAAAACGAGATGATACAGCATTTCAAACTGTTATTTTTGTTCTATTAATGTTAATAAATGTCATCTAAACCCCATCACTAAAAAGAAAATGGGAATGAAGCATAAGGCTAAAACCTTCATTGCTAAAAAAAAAAAAAAAAAAAAGCTAGCTAAAGTGTCGTATCCAAGCAGGTTGATGGAAAGTTGAGTGGAGGGAAAAACCACAGCCTTTAGGGTCAAGTAAAGCACATTTATGGGTTGGACTGGAGCCGTTGTGGAAGTGGACTAAAACGATTCCAAGTAGTCTCGTCTTTAACACCTGAATCAAATTATTAGGTAATTAGCATGACTGCAGAGAACTGGAGGAAGGGATTCAGCCATTTGATTCAGTCGTGTTGGACCAGGGACATGTTGAAAAGTTTCAGGAGATCTGCCCTCGCGCACTTGAGTTTTGACACCCCTGGCATGAAGTCTGGGAAACATGGAAGAGGGACAGAAGTACAGCTTCTACAGTCGGAGATTTGTGGAGTCATGCCTCCTGATCCAGGTTCAAAGCCAAGTCAGCTCACCCATTTTCAGGGAAATCCTATATCACATCATGCTTCCCTCTGCTTACAGGCTTTATTGAGATGCTCATTTCATTTCTAATCAAACAGAATAAAATGGACATCTGATTTATCGATCCTATTATCAATAACCTTGGTTAGCAAACTCAACTTTGGTCTTTCTATAACTGTAAACCACAATTAACAAAATTACCTGATATCCTTTAAATACATCACCCAGAATGAATTATATTAGTATTTAATGAGATGCATCAATATAAAGAAGTTCATTATCTGAATTATCTCCTCATCTTCATCACCAAAATATTTCCTTATAAAACTGCAAAAAGGAAAACAAATGAGGCGATTAGATGTCTGCACTGTTAATCTGAAGCTCATGTTTTAATGCATTCTGTGTTTCGGTTCATGCTCATTTCTCTATGTAGGACATTTGAAAAGCATCAGCAATGTATTTATTTATCAAAGAATGTTAATATGTTGTGTTTTGTGTTCATTATAAATCTTAGCCCATCTTAAACAGGCGTTGTACTTTAGCTAAGAGGGAGAGGCCCTCAGGACCAAGTGTGATTTATGTACAAAAAATAAAGAACTCAATAGGATTAAGTGAGTTTCAAGTTGCTAAAGTATGATTTTCTGTTAGGAAAAAACTTGTACAGCATAACTGAAGTAAAACAACATCTAACTGAAACCTTATCGTGCGCTGGGGGCAGAAAGCCCGTCTTACAGAGTGCATGCTGTTCTTGATAAACGAACTAAAAGCCGCAGCGCAGCCCTTGGGACTGCTAATTAGGCTGCTGGTGATTTTCAGTGCATTTCAGGGACGGCCACGTTGCTACCCAACCTTTTCCTAACCCCTGCCAAGTTTGGAGATCCAAAATACACTGCAGGGCACGGAAAATTATCTGCGTGTGCTGGTATGTGTGAGTGTGTGTGTATTTTATGAACCTCTGGGTTGTGTCCTGTTAGGTTCAGGGACCGCTGAGCCAGGTCTGCCACCGGAAGATCCGGTCAGAAGGCTGTTTAGTGCTACTTCAAGGTTGTTATTATTATCCATCAGAGCTTGTCGGGCAGCCTCCCTGTTAAAGCCCATCTCCATGATGTCTCTCAGAGCACGTTCATCCACCTAAACACCAGAGAGACGAGAGGCAGAATAAATCTATACTGTATATACAGCATAAAGAAAGCAAATAGAAAGAATTTGTAAAAACTTTGAGATATGTCAGTAAAAAGCCTAAACTTGTGTTTAGTTGAGGTTTTAAGTTTTAAACCATCTTTAAACATGTTTTGGGGCAAATCCTAATCATCCCTTTCTCTGCTCTAAGTTCTATTAAAGCCAAAGTTGTGTAACTACAAGCAGCTAGAACATGAAACAAACCAAGATAAATTGACCGCCATGCGAGTTCATTTAACTCGGCTTCATTTGCATTTTTTCAATATCCTAATCAATGTCTTACCGAGCCTCTGGAACAATAAAATAGAAACTCAATCAAGATCAAAGATCCAAAATGAAACACAAACCAGGTTTCCAAGGAAAAAAAAGCTCCTCAAAATGATCAATATATGTTAAAAGGATTGTTTCTTAAAGAACATCTCAGCATTAGCTGGAATTATAATCATCTTCTCACCAGCTCTCTATAGTTTCCATCTGCTCGGCTTTCGGTTCTTTCTGCCTTTTCTTCTCTCCTCCTCTGCTGGTAAGAGTCTCTGCTTCGAGAGAAGGATGCTGCAGTGGATAAATTACTCCCTGCATTTCCTCCACCACCAAATGTGCGAGGGCCCTGAGGAGTGGAACAAGAATTAAAAACAAAAAAACAATAAAGACAAAGGAGCAGCAGGGTTGGAGAAAACCAAGAAAACATTCAGGTTTGTAGCTAATATTGCAATTATGCTTTTGAATTCAAAGAGTTGCAGAAATAATTCAGGTTAACCTAAATGTCAATAAGCTTCATGTAATTTACACGCGGAGCAAATTTAACAGCCTATGGAAAAACTGCAATCAATATGTTACACAGTGTGATTTGTTAGAATATGAAAAACAATGGAGAAAGGCAGAAAAGTGTTCATTATCAGTTAAGTGAGAGAATAACAACATGCCTTTTCAAAAAGACGCCAATGAGCCCTGGTTACAGCTGTAATTACCTCTTTGGCCTTGGAAACTTCAGCTATAGCTGCCGTCCGCTGCTTTTCAAACTCATCATTCTCATCTGCGGTTTTGATCACATTCTGAGTCTGCAGGGTTTTTCTCTGGTCGAGTTCTCTGCTGTCGATATCATCCTTTCTTCCACACCTCTGTGACGAGGATAAGAACACATGATACACATATTAAAGAACAAATAGAATGTAATGTACCCTTAAATAAACACAGGGGGTTCCATTTGCAAGTTAAAACCCTAAAGCCATCTTTGGAGCATAAAGTACTGGGAAAAAAACTAAATAAACTAAATAAATGTTTCACTCTAAAATAGGACCCATACAATCAGATTAGTGATACCTATTCTGGTGGAAGTGCACAGAAAAAGAAGGAATTTCTACTACGTTGCTTTGAAACTGTATCTTATCAATGAAAATGTAATTTTAAAATGAAAATGATCAGATCTTCTTATGTATTGCAAAGGTCCTCAATAAAGAACCAGTGCACTTTAATATTTTAAAATTTCTACATTTCAGCTAAAACCTGAATGAATTCAAGCAGCACTTCAAGGCTAGAGATGAGGCTAAGGCTACATTATTTATACTTAGGCTAGTTCTTCTACACCCGAGCAGATTTCTGAAAAATCAGCCCAGGATTTTAATGATTCAAAGAGAAACAACTGTTTTAAAAGATCCTAAAAGTTCATCAGTCACAGCAGAAAGGTTAGACATGGGTTTGTCAACATCAAGCTAATTCGTAGAGCAGAAGCATTTAAGAACAAAATAGTTACTAAAGTGCTTTAAAGACAGGAGAGACAATGGATAAAACAATAAAACAGAAAATTATAATACTCTCCATGGGGGCCTCATGCTTTGCTTTAGAACAGATTATTGGACGGTTAAGAGATAATGGCCGGTCTTTTAACAGTTGGGTGCAGAGTCTGAAATGAACCCTAACTAGTGTCTAGTTTTTTTTCATTTGGTGAGTTAGTGCCACAGCTCCATTCGCCACAAGGCGAGTAAATGTTTGGACCACAGCTGCACTTCAGTCACGTCTTTTGATCTTTTATTTTGGTAAGCCTCCCCTCTGTCTCTTTCTTCCTCTGCTGCTGTTCCTCACATGTCAATGGACGGACACGCATACAGAGAGCCCATCATTTAACAACTGCGCCGCTAGGCAAACTGTAGCAGTATATAGTTGGAGCAACCGAGCCTTCTTAAAGGCAATGTGACGATGAGGAGCAGGAGGAGCAAGGATCTACAACCCTCAGGGGGAAGAGAAAGTTTATTGAAAAATGCCGCTATCAGGTAGCCTGTGTTTTGAAAGAGAAAGGCTTCTTTATAAGGATGCTAAGCTAATGAGCTGCTCTGTGTGCACCAAATATGCAAAAGAGAACAAACACGATTAATTTATCGCTGGCTGTCAGTCTAGACAGTTAATGCCACATTCACTGGATGTCCATCTCTCAGGCTGAATCTAAACAACCCATGGAACAGCAACTGATAGCACACTGATGCTATAACAACACAAAGATGAAGATACAGTTTTGCACTGCCGCTGCCACTGGAAGAAAGGCTAAGCTTTTACTGATAGACTCCATAAAGTTTTTTTCTTTTTATGGTCATTCTATCAGATAAAAGTATTTTGAACTTTACAACCTTAATAAAACTACTTTACTGCAACTTTGTGTGCATTTAACATAATGCCTTAGTGAATAATTTTGTGTTCCGCTCCACTTGGCAGGTGAGTCAAAAGGTTCATTTCAGAATCCGGTTGTGTGGCTTTCAGGAAATTCCCTTAGTGCTGTATGATTGTTCTCCTCTCATATTCAATAAAAAATCCAAACCAGTCCAAAAACAGACAGAACGTGAATAAATTAATGTGTAAAAAAAAAAAAAAAAAACTTAGTTCCAGTTAAGGGACTAAGGGACTCAAATCTCTGGTGTCCTGCCAGATCTAGATGTTTTTGTACTTTAACACCTCGGTTTTTCAGCAGAAAAATGCTCTTAATCAGCCATCAACAGATATAAGTTTTTCTGAAAAAAGGAAGCATTCAAAACATGCAGGAGAGCGTCCATTAATGAATGGAGCTGGACACCCCTGATATAGATCAACATAAAGACCCTCAGGGAAGTACAGGCAGGAAGTAAAAAGACTAAACTGTCTAAGGAATAAGTTTACTTTGCCAATAGTTCTAAGCAGACAGAAAAACCTGCATTTATCTGCTTCTCTTGTGTCAAGGAGCTGTCAAATACAAACCCCAGATTCCTGACAGCAGAACAACAGCCAGGAGCCAAAGAATCAATGATGTCAGCATGTTTGTTCAGAAAACACACTTTATCAGAGAAACTAACTCTTATCTCTTTACATTTTTAGTTATCATCAGATCTTTTAGTTTTATTTTTCTAAGCATGGTTATTCTAAACAGATCTATATTCTATATCCAGCTATTTAGTTTTTGACATCAGCATTAAACCTCCTGTGCAAAGTATGATTTGTCTAAAAATGCAGTCTTGTAATTTGCTCTTCCTCTCACCTGACCAAATGGCACGAAGGGTGGAGGTCCACCTTCTGCTCCAATGTTACTCCTGCTGTGTTTGGCCAAACTCTGCAGGTTGAAGGATAAACAGAGAACCAAAAGACAAGCAATAAACCGGGCAGAACTATAGAGGCAAACAGAGGTAGCTTTTGTATTGTTTTTAAACAACTAAAAGTGTAATAATTCAAACTCAGATTGACCCTCACCCTTTGTAGCTCCCATTTCTCCACCATGTGATCCACCTCTCCCCCAAGGACGTGAATGTTTGAGTCGTCGAGCAGCAAAATACCGTTTTTAACTTGAATTGTACCAACAAGCTTCACCTTCGTCCCAGGGGGTGTATTCAGGCTGAAAGGCATAGAGAAGACATTTGTTATAAACAAATCAAATAAATAAACAGCCATGAATGATTATTTTCAGCCCACAGCTCAGATTTCAAGGGTTTAGCACATTTGAACTGTATCTAGCAGCTCTAACACCCTATTGCCTTATCACTCTCTAAATGACATGGAGCAGTGCCAGCAGATGGGTGGTAAAGCTAAGAGAGACTATTAATAATCCCAGCTGCTCACCCATCCTCATGGTAAATTAAAAGCGCCTCTATCTCATCAGGCCTGATAAGGCCTCTGCCTCTCTCATTAGGAAAGCACAGGGACTTAGTGGGATTTCCAGCTACTGATGCTGGAAGCCAAAGGAACAATTAGGGATCTCACTCCAAACCTCTGGGATAGATGGTGCTCTCATGTCATGGTAATGTAGAAATAAGAAGCAGTGTATCCCCGATTCAATCAAAAACACACTATTCAACCTGTATAGTTGCCATTTAATGTTTAATTGTGCTGCCTTCATATCACTGCCTCACACAGTGAACAGTCCTGTAATCCATCTCATCATTCTTTTCCATCCACTTAAGGGCTCCTTCGCACTAAAGCGGACACTTTCATCAGAAACATTAAGCGCCGCTGTCAGCTGTCCGTGTGTGTGTGTGTGTGTGTGTGGGGCTCATAAAGAGGGGATTTGTTCTGTTCTCTCCTCTCTTCCCATCAGGAAGTCACGGACTACATTCTGGCCACTCCACCTGTACAGACTGGCTAGTCACCATGGCAGCAATCACCAAGGCCACCGTTGCTTGGATGGAGATGTAATTAAGGCTGCGAGTTGTTAAATCAGGTGGCGCCGCATGGAGTTGCAGATAAAGGAGAAATTGACGTATGTGGTGAGGGTTGAAAGTGTTGACAAGGAGGCGAAAGGAGAGTGAGAAGAGAAACCTTACACATGGGCTAAATATAAGAGGAAGTGGCTAAACATGTGGAGATCAATCTACACACATTTTTGCTAAATCAAAATCCTTTTCCTTTTTTTTATATCTATTTTTCATTTTTTTTTTTACCACTTTGTGTATTTTCTTAAGAACTCTTCCGCACAACAAAAGAAATTCGTACAATTGTTATGCTTTTCAAGTTTGAACTTTGGTTAAAAACTGAATAATACAACTAAGGCAAAGGGTGGATTTTTAATGATTTATTTTAATCAGAGCATTAATATTAACATAAAGCAAAAAGGGTCAACAGAAAAAATCCAACCTTACTGGTTTAACACTGTCCTGAAGGAACTGCCTCTCTACACTAAATGAGTAGGACAGCTTTTCCATTCTGTGGATCTCTTGCACAATGTCTATCCAGTCTTCTATTATTGGTGATTCTGCTTTGGGCCATTCCCAGGTGAAGGCCTTGTTACTTGCAGCCAATAAAATATAGAAAAGTTTCTTGTCTTTTCCTCCTCTGATCCACTTGTATTTTTCCCAAAGAATTGGTTGCAAAGGCCAAAGGACTCACAACAGAGAATACCTGTACATGTTCGTTAATTTAAGATCAATACTGATTAATGACTTGGCAGCCTCAATAAATGTAGAAGCGCTTGGCTTCATATCCCCTGCATTCCCCACAACAATCACCAATGCCCTTCTGGAGAGATGAAATAAAAAAAATCTATTTGTTTAACAAAATGCACAGCATTTGACTCGTTTGTAACCCATAGGATCTTACATAGGATCTTTGTGTTCCCAACTTGCTTCCGTAAATTTACAATTACTTGGTGTATTTTCAAGCAGCCTTTCGTGTCGATTTTTTTGCACAAAGGTGCACTAAGGTGCAACATTTTATCCACAGCCTCTGAGATTCAGTTACAAAGAGTAACAGAGAAAGAGAGAGAAAGAAAGAAAATGTAAAAACAAGATTAAAAAATAGTTTGAAAACTCTCCTGAGGGGAATATGAATCAGTATAAACTTCCCAAACAATTAAGCTAAACTGCATCTGCTTATGAAAACAAAGAAGCCTACCTGATTTTGGACAGATGTTTCAGCTCCAGTCCAACACAGGTGGTGTGCCCATCTGTCATTTGGAGGCGCAGCATTCTCGGAGCACCTTGGGACTCCTCATGGTCTTTGGGAGCCGAGACGTTTCTCACCTTCTGCAGCTGGAGGACACATGGACCCTCAAACTGTCCATTTAGGAAATAAAATAAAAAAACAATAAAAAAAAAGGAAAGCTAAATTAGCTTGAGGGGTAAACTGGCAGCAGGTGCAAGAATAATATCCACTAATTGCAGTGAAGGATACTCTCAGAATCAATAATAAAAAAACTAAATTGACATGGGTAAATATTTCCGCCTCTGTAAGCCAATGACAGCACAGGTTTGTTTATTCCCCTAACTGCTTCACAGAGAACATTTGGATTTAGTCAGCATTTTGGTTTTTAGACAGGAGGAGAGCTAAGCTCACAACAGGACGTTTGTTTTAGTGGCTGGAACATTATTTCACAATAACTCGAAAGCAGCATCACAGCCAAAAAAAATGATAAAAGATAAAAAAAAATAGAAATTTTTAAACGCTGGTCTGTGAGCACCATCTAGTGGAGGTTTTGAGAATTGCAATATGGACAACAGAAAACAGTTGTGCTTCTAGAAACCATAAGTGTTTTTAGTGCATCATCATTTTGCAGTAAAGAGGACGTCAGAGTGCTGAATTCCTACAAGTTTCACTTGCTAGACTTAAATGTTTCAGGTCAAACAAAAGTTGAATATAGACTGTTACCTTAAACATTTTTTTAAAAGCATATCGTTTATCATTTTTTACATTACCTATTTTCCATCTCCAACTATATAACACATAACTCCACAACTACTTAATTCAAACTTATGATATCTGTATAAAGATAAAGCATAAATCTTTTTTTTTATCATTTAAGAAACAGTGAATACATAATTGTGCATAATTTGTGGTAAAATAAATGAAAAGAAACTAAGGAGAAAAATCTGCCCCAAATCACCAGGCTGTGTGTAGAAAAACAAATTGCAATCTGAAGGTAGAGATAGTTTGAGTCGTCCCAAACTGTGGAGTTATTTCGGCTCACTATTTTTTTTTTTTATGTCTTTTCCCAGTATTGTATTACATCAGCTTCACTGGAAGGTTTTTGAGCATCATTGTTCGACCTATGGTTACTGCAGACAATCTCAATGAGATTTAAATCTGGCCATTGACTTGACCACAGTGTTATTTATTAATTTTTATTCTTTGAAGGTGAGCTTGATGGTTTAGTTTCATTCTTTGTCCTGCTGCATAACCTAAGCATGCTTTAATGACCGGTTATTCTTACTCAGAACGACTTTCTGGAACAAACATTGCATGATGCAATTTTTTTTGCATTTTTTTTTTTTTAAATACTGCTGTTATTTTACAGCTTCTAAACAGCTCTACGTTTTTCTTTTTTTATTGGTACACAACATATTTTCCTAAAAGTCTAGTTTCACCAAATATATTTTGGACATTGAACCTTGGAGTTATTTTTGGTCAGCAGTAATTTTTGCCAGTTTCTTTTTTTTTTCTCTTCTACTTATTAAATAATGAACACCGGCCTGGATTTAAACAAATAAAACCACACAATATTTTGGGTTTTTGACCCTTTCTCCAGGTGTTCACTCCTAGATTAAATGCTCATTGTTCTACTGGAAAAAATATATAACTAAATCCACTTCCAGGAAGGTTTAGTACTGTTCCATGTGTTCAGAAATTGTGATTAAAAGCTTTAGAACCATTTCCATCCAATTCTTATAACCTTTTGAATATCAACAATTATAATATAATAATTAGATGTTTTTCCATCTGAGTAGGAGCGAATAGACCAGATGATGCAAAGCATAATGTGGTTGTATGTTGATGTTACACTCGGTTGTAATAAACAGGAAGTAAAGGTAGCAAACCAGCTCAGACCATAGATCTGTAATGGAGTGAGGTTTTAAATTATTGTGTTAAAATTAGATCAGTTGTGCTTACTTTCTCATGTCAGCTGGTATTAGCGATGTTACGTGACTTTTGGTGACATCACAAGAGTAGTGTCATTCTAATGCAGGCATGTTCACTGAATTCATTTAACAAATGTGTTTCTATCTATAATGCATATACTCTTTTTTTTGGAACAGTCAACACTCAAGAAAGCAAAAAGTAACTTTTTTGCAAAGTTTTGGAATTTGATTTAAATTTATCCGTCTCGACCAACATCTACTAATACCTTACTTCTTAATGTGTATTAATAAAACAAGGATGGGAACACGTGTTTTGACAATCCTTAGCTGGTGCCTCAGTGAGTCTCAGAAATCACTTTAGAGACGACCAACGAGGGATGCCAATGAATGCTTCTACTCTGTTCTTTTATTTCTTTTGATCAGGGAAAGATCAAAGAAATCTCGGTGAGACATTTTTCCCTACCTTGTGTTATCAAACAGGTTCTCCTCAAATGATAAATTATTCTACAGACCTGGTAAGTACATTTGTGATTTAACAAGGACCGTGGTTTTCCCACACAGGGTGGATGTTCTTCATCCACTTAAAATGCATTTTTTATATCCTCTGGTAATATCTCTCATTAACATTTGATGGTCTGAGACACTTAACTTTAACAGAAAAGGTAAAACAAAAAAAGAAATTATAGCGGGAATATGTTTACAACCACTCATGGATAACACTCACCTTCTCAGTTCTTCCACTATTTATATCGGATGGAAGAACCTTTTTCCCAATAGGCCTGAGATCACTCTGCAAAGGATATAGAACAATATAAAAAAGAGAAATAAAAAAATATCACAGCAGTCAGAAATAACTAGTAACAGGAAAAATACTTAATGAGACACTAAATATTCAAATGTATTGCAATTCTACCTTCGATGGACACCTATAAACAGTAATACTGATTACATTCATTTAGTTGCACAGCATAAAACCACAGCATGAATGTGGGCAAGTTTTATTTAAAGTTATTTGTTACTAATTAAAATCCTAACACTGATTTATTACTGATTATTGATTAAATATTTCACCAATCGTATTAGATTTTAATCTCTAATGAATGATCTCTGTAACTAAACACAAAATACCTAAAAAATAAAAATTAAATGAATAACAGATCATATTTTGTAGTTTTCTATATGGTCCAAAACCCATAACTTCAGTTCAACACTTGGGTTAAGATTACATTTATAATAGGGCTGTGAGCATTAATGCCTAAACCTCCATTAATTAAAAAAAATGTTTAGTTTTTTTTTTTGAATAACTTTTTAGACATAAAACTTTTTGTCTCTCTGACTAACCAGTAGTCAGGCCCTTTGCTCATTTCATGAAGCGGTAAGAGGTGATGGAAGAAAAAAGTAAAACCTGAGTTTAAATCAGCCTGCTTACCTTTGAAAAAATCAAAGAATGAAAAAAGAAAAGTTAAATTTTTTTTAGTTACTATGGTTGCACTTGCAAATTTTTTTTTGTCACTTGGGACCAAACACCACAGTTCTTGGAGAGCATCATGTCTCCATTACAACCGGTTTAAATCGGGAAGCTCTGCCACCAAAAAAGTAGCAGAGATAAATGGATTAAACTTTCATAATGGAGTCTGAGGTACACCGGTTATGAGGAGCTCTTCCTTTTTTTCCTATATGGTTTGCATATAGAAACTACTGGCAAATGATAGTGTTTAGAAACAAAGTGCTGCTGCAGGTGAGTATGAACCCATCTGAGCATTGGCCATGCTTATAACAGATCACAATTTTTTTCCCCAAACAAAACTGAGGTAATATATGTTTTTATCTTCACTCGCTTTTATTTTTCTTCTATTCCGGGGTGGTTTGAAAGGGGTGTGAAGGAAGCCGTTTACATTGAGAGAGACAAACCAAACTTAAACAGAGGGAGTGGACTCAGGTTTCAGCTCTCAAAAACCTACAAAGCAGCCATAGAGTTGATTCCTTCCTGCTATCATCTCAATCCTCATCGCCAGGCAGGCGACTAAAACATCTCGCCTGGTCAGCCAGGCCAACAATGACGCTAACGACTCCCCATTACTAAGGGGTGGACCTGTTTTTCAGTTCAATTTGCATGTTTTCTAAGCCATAAAAAGGCTTTTGTTCGGGGAATTTTATAAGCCCAGAACTCAACGCTACTCCAGACATTTTAAATTGAGAAAGTTTTCTGGATGGGAAGCGAAACATCTTCAAAGTTGGAAAACAGTGGATTATTTTTTAACTTTTTTGGAATTACTATGACCTGGATGACTGAGAAGCTTCACCAACTTCTATTCTATTGTTTAATTCATGTAAAGCAAGATAAATTGTACTTATAGTTAATTGTGCTATACAAATAAACGTACCTTAAAAATAACATACTGACACAGGAGACGATTAATAGCAATATTTATTCAGGAGAAGGTGCAGATTAATGCTCTTTAACATGCACCATGAAATTCTCATCTGGCCCAAACACCGACGACCAACAAGTTAATTTATGTCCGTAATATATATATATATAATTATAGTAGGACACCAGAGTTGGACTGGAGCTGAGAACAGCTTCTTCTAGTTTGACGTGCATTATAGTCCGATTGTGCTTCAATACTGACCCAAACGGGACCAAAAGCTGCAGGTGTAAATAAAAACAAACCAAAAAAACAAAAGTTATTGACTACATTTTTCTAATAGTCCAATTGTTAAATTAAGAGAGTGGCATGATATATTTATTCTCTCAGAGTAAGCTCAGCATTACTTTCCTCGTAATATTTGAAAGCTGGTCTGAAATGCCCCTTTTTTAAATAAAAAGGTCAAGAAGGAAACAATTTCTTTATTGGATTCACATTGAAGACTTTAGTTAAATAATCTATATTATGAGCTTTGAACTCACTTGACATGTAAAATAACAGTATTTTAGACATGCAGTTGAATTCATGATTTTCTGATGCAGAGATAGCATAATTCATATAATTCTTTCAGTCCAGGTTCTTATTTTATTTGTTGTTTTTATTTTTCAAGCACTGACAGTTAAAGATATTATTTTAGGTACAACAAGCCTTTTTCATAACTTCCATAAAAATTATAATATGAATAATGCTGTCATGTTTTTAGATGTTGTTTTGCTGCTTTAGTTTGGAAACCATACAATTTTCAAGATTCATTTTTTTTTGTATGCGGTATGGCTGTGATTAGTGTAACTGTCTGAAATAGTTTATTTCCAAACTGCATTTATTAATGTATGCCATCATTCTGATACTGACCAGAATGTATTGAGGCCGCTATATCTAACAGAGCTCACTTTAGAGAAGGAGTTATATAAAAATTGTAAAAAAATATTTTTAAACATTTGCATTTAAGATAAAACAAATGGTTTTTGTCTGTCAATAGTCTCTATCCAGAAGTCGAGTGGAAAAGCTGTAGTTTCACCTGGTTTATTTTCATAACATCTTCTTTAAGCATCCTTTGGTTCTTCGATTATAAATCGACTAATCGAAAAAAAATTGAAAGATTAATCGATTTTTAAAATAATTGTTAGTTGCAGCCCCAATCAGGTGCGAGGATGGAGAAGGAGAGAAGAGCAATATACAGGAAAAGGCAGCAGGTTGGTCAAATAGCACCGAATGTCAATATCTGATCATCTTACTGTAGTTTGCAAATGGTTGAAAGCGTTTATTTTAGATTTCTTGTGCAAGTCTTAAAATATAATGGATAATGGAGCTCGACTGGGATAGTTCGATAAATCGCAGCAGATGTCGTAAAATCCCCCCCCTTTTTTTTTCCAAATCCAAAACCTGACAGGTATGCATTAGAGCAGGGGTCTTCAACGTTTTCCTGGCCAAGGACCCCCAAACTTATGGTGAGATGGAGTGGGGACCCCCTAAATATATATTGTATGAAATAGTGTTCTATCAACCTGGTCCTATAGTCACTCTATTACAGATGGAGTAATGTAACTAAAGTAATTTCTCCCTGGGATTATTAAAGTATTTCTGATTCTGATTCCTGGTTGACGGGTCAGGTGTTGTGAAT